GAGTTTTTCCTTCCCACTGTCGCCAAAGTGCTGCTCATAGGGGGTCATATGATTGTTGGGCTTTTCTCTGTATCTATGAAGCGCCTTGAGGCAACATTTGTTGTGATTTGGCGCTATATAAATAAAATTGAATTGAATTGAATTTACTAAACTCGTTTCACTCTGTTCGACCATGCTTTCCATTTGTTCCAAAATCACATTTTTGGGGACGAGTTTGTTGCATTCAGTTTGTTTTGATTCCTTAAACATTCAGTAGCACAGCAGTAGTTGTAAACAATGCTTTCCATGTTTAATAAGAGACTACCTCGCTGGTTTATTCTGGTGTGTAGCATCAGGCGCAGCTTTAGTTCCCAGCCATCGTATAACCTACTTCAGATGTCAAACTCAGCTTACATCGTGGGCCACTTACAGCCCACTGTGATCTTAAGTGGGCCAAACCAGTGAAACTGCCCTTTCTGTCAGTGTAAAGATGTTTCAAGACACATTTCATTGTAATTAATATGAGAAAAACAAGTGCAGTTTTAACAGTCTCAGTTTTGTATGACTGTAAGTGATTATTCTAAATTCTGTTCTCTGTGAATGCGGCAGAACAAACAAACAAATGTGTAAAATTACTGCAAAGATTCTCTTAGCTTAGTGCCCGGACACTTGTGATTAAAAAACAGAGTTCTTCAGTAATTCAACAAAGTTTCATTTATTTATGCATTTATTCTTTTTAGTCTAAAGTAAAAAGTATCTAATCTAATTCATTACTTGGTGTAATACGAATGGGAGAGGACTCTATCAGTACGAAAATCTGATAAAACTTTAAAATACAGTTTTATAGTCCAGAATCTAATATATCCTTCATATATGAGACAGCAGACATCACAAACACAACACAGCTAGCAATTTTTGTGCGTGGGATTACGGGCGACTTTGAAATGAAGGAGAAGTTGTATGGGCTCAAATTGTGGTCATAAATATTTTGTACTTGTAAATCAGGATTTGTATGTGTAAAAAGAATTTGTGTGTGGACTTAGCCAAAAATATGTGAGAAAGTCTGCACTCAAGTTTCAAGTTACAAGTACGAATTTTGACCCCATTTTTCTTAAATGCTCAACAGTGTTAAATATTGCACTGAGGTCTAGGAGGACAAGCAGAGAGATGAGCCCACTGTCAATACGATCATTTGTCACCTTCACTAAACATCTATAATTAGCTAAGACAGCTGGGATCTACTTTCATGATGGGCCTCGTGAGGTTGTGGTGATCGAGTTTATCTTTCTGAAACACATAATAGATCATCACAATATTTTCATATTTTGAGATGCACTGCTACAGGATTAGCACACGAGTGCCCAGAGGAAATGCATCCCAAGCATTGAGCTGACCACGAGGTTCAAAACCATCACAGTGTGCCCATTGCACAGCATCAGGTGGCAATGCAGCTGCATAGCAATGAAATGCTGTGCCTTCTAATGATGCTGCTTAAGGACAACCCCAGCAGATTATCAGTTGAGTAATTCTATTGGACTTTTTTAAGCCCTTTAAAAGACACGTGTGAAGTTGGCAGCTTGGTGTTTGGTGGTGGGAGCGTCGTCTTCATCCTTCACATTCTCACAGATGTGAAACCAGAAGCTTTTCCCAGGTTTGAGCAAAATTAAGCTTTTATTTGAGACACTGGGCAGTACAGGATATTTGATACAGACAGGAGCATTCTTAGTTAGAACTTTAACTGCAGTAAATCATGACATGATTCATGTAGAAAACAAATGTGTAACATTTCTCAGTCTTGGTCTTGAACACTACAGCTATCCTCGTATGTATTTGTTTAAATAGTGCATTGACTGTTTTGGTGTGATTTACATCGACCA